ATTTTTTAATTAAGTAATATTAAATACGTTTTTATAAAAGAGTCCCTATATTGGTATACGGTTAACTGGATTCTTAAGTAATTTTAAAACATATGTATATGTAACATTTTTACAAATATTCGAGTTATAGAGGAATAGTATACAAAAAATTTAGATGTTTAACATTTTCTTAAAAATATTGTATTACGATTTACATATTTTTAATATGCTGTTAATTGATTTGTGAAATATTTCTGTTATTTAACTAAGTTATATGCATCTAAAATTTTCATTGAATCTTAAATTAATGATGTAATTGCAAAACTTAATTACTAAAGTATTTATCATATTAACACAATATGTTTTCTTACAGCGCCTTGCAGTTTTTAGAATTAGGTTTTCAATAAAAGTTTTTGTTTCTACTTTGATTTCAAGGCATAAAACACTACGGCTTACTAAGAAAGGAAAATAATATGTATAATCTGCGAGCGACATAGCGACTAAAATCACTCCTCATAAAAAATTTCAAATTACACTTTTTTTTTAATATACAGAAACCAAAACAACTATTTAAGTATAAATCGATTTTTACGGACCATAGTAATCCAAAAAGTAATAATTTTGTTGTTTTACCTGTCCCGTTTTCTAATATAAATAGTACTCAAAAACCTATAGACATACATATCGCACGTTTAATACTTAATATAGACACGTAACTGAAAATTTACTTTTTTGGAGATTTCATCATACATGCAGGTAATAAGCTTGATAAGGAAAATATGTTCAGCCTAACAGATGACTAAACTTCCCAGAAATGACTAAGATATGCGTTTTCCAACTGTTGTTAACATACTTACTTAATGAATTGATCAAACTTTGATTTCGTTTTCCCACAAAATTGAAATTTTGAAATAATTCTATATATAATCGCTACTATGTCAAACTATCGAATGCGCAAAAATGCCTTGCGCATGCGTTTAGAATGATACGCAAGTTAGCAAATCGTCCAATTTCGAGTCTTCTTAGAAGCAGAGGATACTGGCTTTAACAAAGTGTCGAGTTCCACAACTTTTCCTAATAACAACAACACTTTTTTACAAAAGTTTTTTCGCTCTCCTGAAATGTTTCCATTTTCACATTCGATAGTTTGACATGGTAGCGACGATATTATTAAAATGTTAGCCCTTTTCGTTGTTCGGACTTGGTTCAAAAACTACTGGATAGATTTCAGCCAAGTTATTCCTTGCATAACTGGTCCATTTTAGTCTACTAGAAAACTTGCTAGATGGCGCTGGAGTAGTGATGTTTAGAAAACTTGTCTTTATAGACCGATTTAGCTCAAACTTAGTGCGCATATTACCCGTACGATAAGAACAATTTTTGTAAAAACTAAGTGGCGCTGGAATCGAGTTATTTTGAAACCCGTATTTGGGGTCCGATCAGGTTATTTTCATGATAGAATATACTTTTACAAAAAAATCGTATTAAGAATCAGGTTTGAATTCATAAAGATAAAAGATGTTTCTGCAAAAATTTACCCACTAGATGGTGCTGGAATTGAGATATTTGGAAACCCTTCTAGGAATTTACTTCTTAGATGGCTAAATCAAAGATACGCCTCTTTTTCTCACGCCCGCGTAGATTCTAAATGAGATATTGCATCAATCTCATTAATTCATTTCAATTCTCTCCATTCAGATATCGTAGACACAACAACGGGCATGACTCAATAATAAAAGTTTTGCATAAGAGTCCGATATGACTCATATTGGGGCTCATTTGATGTACGAATTTAAGCCCATATATGTAAGTCGACCCTCGGAGGAAGGGAAGCACCCTCTTGTCGGATTCTTAAGTGAGCTCATTATGAGCGTAAAGGCTCCGAAATAGGACTTCTTAAAGACTCGTTTATAACCAGGGTTCGGAAATTCTCATTTATGATTATTCGTTTTCATTCTTTTACGAGATTTATCGCGATCGATAATATTCCAAGTCTATTTTTGCATTCTTTTATAAATTATAACTCCAAATGTTTGCTGGGATATAACACCGTGCGACAGTAAATTCTACACACACAAAAAAACAATATATTCGTGAAATTATGGGTCAATATAGTAAAACTGCTTTTGTAGTGTTTATCTCCTATTTCATGATTTTTTTTTATAACTTTGAAATTTCATATTCATATTTAAACAATTCAGTGTGGAATAGCAATACAAGTATCAAAATAAAGAGAAAATTCTTTAGGACAAAACTTTTTTGAAAATTGAAAATGTCCCTTAAAGATTTTATCACGGAATGTCTTTGAAAATTTCCAATATTTACTTTTGAAACAATTATATGTTAAGGGCTTACACATACTCGACTAAATCCACGAATTTCGCCCTCTAACTTTAATAGGGATGTGCAGAATTGTCGGTACCCAATACTCGGTACCCAGTACTTCGGAAATATTTCGGTACCCAGTACTTCCTCTTAGGTACCGAATACCGATAATTTGACATAATTTTCAACAGAATATCCTTTAAAAAAGCTGCATCGACTTTATTTCGACTATGAATATACTACTTCACATAGAGTACCAATAAGCCGATGCTTTCTCAAAAATTGAACAATTTGTACTAAACAATGTGGAAACCACACATTAAAAGTATTGCTATCGCAAAACAACACTCTCATCGCTTTCCTGAGTTTATTGCAACAGCAAAATATAATTTTAGCAGTTTCTACCTTTGTAGATAAAAAATTCCAGAAAAATGCTTTGACGCATGAAAAAGTCATTCAGGCCTACAAAGATAGCATCGTCCGATTCATCTACAAAAAAAATTTAAATAAGGAAGGGGCTTTGTGCATTTTGGCGATGGAAAATGTATATATGTATACGTACATTTTTTTCATTTGAATCAGGTTTAAAACCTCTATTAGCCCCTAAATTTTGATTCTGATAAATAGGCTGGGGCTCCCCTGAACCGCTTTTATTTTTGGTCTATATGCGTTCTTTTTGGAAGCCTAAACGTTTCAGAACCGAGTGTCGAAAGTATTGGATACTTTTTAAATCGGTACCGAGGATCGATCAATACTTAAAAGTATCGACTCAGCCCATCACTAAACTTTGTTAGCTTAAAAAAATTAAAAAATAAATGTAATTTAAAGAGCTTTTTGAATCAGGCTTATCCTGAGTTTCGAGCTCGAAAAAGAATTCACCCCAAAATTTTTCATCCGCTTAACTCAAAGTGAAAACTGAACCGGTTCGGGGAAAATGAAACTCATGATAAGGCTGAATACATTTTCATTCTTGTGAATCAAAAAGCTTCTTTTTTTAATTGTACTTTTTTATTTGTACCCAAGTGGTAATTATACATACATTGCACTGAATTTTTTTAAATAATTTTTAGAATTAATCATAACTTTGAGTTTTCAAAGTCCTTTTAAAAGAAATCCTAAGAGAGAAAAACTAAAAACACAGTTTTACATTATTTCAGATTGCCTCCTGTGTTTTGATTTGTTGTGTGTTTTTTCGCACAGCGTAATAATTCAAAGCAAAAAAAATATACGGAAACCCCAAATTTATTTTTACCGATGAGCCTGGCATGTCTGTTGTTACCGAGAGAAAACTATGTTTTAAGAGTTGAGTGGTGTCCCACAATAACAATTTACAACTCAAGTATCTTTAAAGTTGTGAATCATAATAGGGAAATCACTTTAGAGGTGGAGGTGCATAGTGTCCGTTAAAAAAAAAATAATAATAATGCTACTGTCATAACAACTAAAACATAGTCGGTTGTTTGCCCCAACAGCGAAAACCAAATCGAAATCGATTTGAGAAAAAATCTATATTTCGTATTTTCAATGACTAAAAGCCGGTTTCACCAGCAATCCAAATGGAAAATGATTTTTTATTTTCTGTCAATTTCCATACAAACTTCAAAAAGTTAAAAAATCATTTTTCACTTAAATTGCTTTCGTGAAACTGGCCCTAAAAGTATTATTTTGTGAATAAAAATTGCTGCAACAAGAACTAAATGAAAAGTTAAATGCCTTGCGATATTCAAATTTTCCAAATTACTTATGTACATACAGTTTTAATCCAATGTTTACAGATTATTATTAGAAAATTTAGAAATTTACATACGTTAACGGTGTCTTATATTTAACTGAGTTTTCTTCCAGTACCTTACATTTAATTTCATTAAAAAACATTGGATTAAGTTCGAATAAATGGGAGTAAAATATAAGCCGCACGTTTGGTTTTGCTTGCGTTTAAAAAAAAAAAAAACAGAATTTTGGTGCTTTTTGATTTTGTTTTCCATAACCTCAGATAACACTTAATGCTGAGTTATAAATATTAGTGAGTTTTTTGTTCGATTAATTATATATTTTTCTTCAGTTAATTACAATTGCCTTATCGATTTGCTGCCATTTCAAGCAAGTTGTTTTTAAATACAAAAATACGTTTATCATTATTACATATTATTAGTTATTACAGTATTTTAATGTCTTTTTGTGTGTGTGTGTGTTTTTATAAGCAACTGTTAATTGTTATTGTAATAGTTAATTAATTACTAACTATAGTTTAGATATAAATTGTTTGCGCCTCATAACTGTTTTCTGTTTTCTGTTTTCTGTTTTCTGATTTAAGATTTTTATTTTGTTTTGTATTTAATATTTAATAGTTTTTATGTTTAGTTATCTTTGATTACGAAGTGTCTTCCGTTGCAACGTTGAATAGTTTTCACATGCCTTAACTTCTTGCAGCGCTGCCTTAGATACATACATAAATATTTTAATTCCAGAACGTATTTTCTTTCCGCTTTTGTGCTGTGACCAAAATATTACCAGATGCAAATAGAAGAAACTAAATACATAAATATGTATAAGAAATTCCATCGTACGCTCAGCTGCTGTTCTCTTCCTTTAACGGTCATCAATCTGTCACTGCCGCTGCCTCTGCTATTCAATCAAGCGAAAAGCCATCAGTCGAAGTCATTAAGTCCGATGAATTCATCAATTTTTCCTTCATACATACATATATGCCAGCGGTAAGCGGCTGCAGCGCTCCAATGACATCAATGACGTTACAAAATATTACCAACAAACAATTACAACAAAAACATTGGTATGCATGAAAGTTGAAAATATGCCTTGCCACATAGCACTAGCACATACATACTTAGAAAATATTTATTACGGAATGTAAAAGAAAGCATTAGCGCTGTAAAGTGGCGGGCGGCAGGCGGCGAGTAGCTCAACTTGTGTGAATATCTCGGAAGCATCGACGAATCAGAATGAATCAAAAAGCCAAGTGATGTGCTGTGCCTGTGATCTAAGCGCGTCGTAGGGGAGAAGGACGTAGGGTGCGGGACTCTGCAGTGGCAAAAGTTTTGCAGCTGCGCCAAGTTCGGGCTCAGACCCTGGATAATTTTGTGTTGTATGCAAATCAGGTGACATTCGCATCAGCACACTGCAACTGGCCGGTTAATTGCTGTTGCAGGTGGCGCCACTGACCGCCTACAGCCGGCATTGATTGACCGAGTGCAAACGAGCGATTTGTGTGCGAACTTGAAGGAAATTGCCGCCGCTGACGTTAATGTCGTTACGTTGATTTTTAGCTGCGGTGGCTGTAATGTTTGCTATTAAATAATGTTGACCCTATTTCTCTATTCCTCTCTATGCATTATTTTTGTTGCTGCTCTGATATTTGTTTTTGCTAATGTTCTTTTTTTTGTTGTTCTTGTTGCTATTTATGTGACCTTTGAGTTGACATTGAGTGCACCTTAATACTGCTAGCGAAATCCCAGCTCATCCACCCAATCCTTTCGCTCCGTTCTTATCCCTACGCCGAGCAGCTGCATCAGCTAACTTTTTATGTGTTTATAAACATACATACAAATATATGTTTGTAAATACGTGCGAACGTTTACATCTGGTTCTGGTGCCAACTCTTTCGTTTACTATTCGTACTTCCGGTGCACAATATGCGGTGCTTTAACGCGACTCTACTCTACTCTACTCTGCTCTACTATGCTCGTTAACTTGACTGGCACTTCAATTGATAGCTGCTCAGCTTTGTTGGTATTATTTGTTGTTCTGTTGCGCCACCACATTCGGCGCCTTGTAGAAGGTTTGCACAAATTCTGAGAGGCTATAAACGGTGCCGGGTCCCTTGCCCGCATTCATGCAGATAAAATCGCCCAAGCTATGCGCATTGCCTACAGAGGAAGATAAGAAAGAAAAAAAAATGTGTGAGAATGTACAATATTAAGTGAATTGCTTGATACTCGTCTTAAATAAAAAGCATTAAAATTCAATAAAAGCTTAATCGAATGCCAATGTTCAAAGGAATGAATATGCCTGAATGCGTATGCCTTACTGCTTGACTGTATGGGCGGGTATGATGGCGGTGGCTTTATCCAACTGCCATCGGGCCTTCGCATGTGTCGACGGTCTGATGAGAATTCACTTAGATATGTTTCTGCGGGTATGACTCTGAAGTATCTGTAAAGAAATCAAATAATTAGGTAAGTGGAAGCATGAAAACATATAAAAATAAATATAAAAATAAATCAATTAAAGAGAGATTCGAGTGTTTTCCATAAGTTAATGCCGGAGGGTATCATTTTACTGACACCTGTATATGAGGAGATATGTAAGCTCAAATTCACTAAGTTATGCAGTACAAAAATCAGAAAGAAACATTTTTAATTGAAACGGAGGGCCAAGCTTGTTAATTATGTGCTCTGGATGCCCTTGGCATCTGTGTTAAAACATTCAAATTTTTACTATTTGAAAAAATTTATACAAATTGCCAATTAAAGATGGCAAATCGATCCAACCAGCTATATTGACAAACCACTCTGGCCAGCTAGAAATACTCAAACGCACTATGTTCCGTTTTCTCAAGTAGGTTTTAAAATTTATCTGGCCTTCAAACACATTTTTTTAGAACAAAATTTGTGGTATAACTTTAAAGGACAGATAAATTTGAAAACCTACTTGAGAAAACGGTCCTAAGTCTTTACTTAATCTAAGCAGGCAGAAAATTCGCATAGTAATTGGAGTCCTCAACGGACATTATCTGATTGGATTACATGCTGGTAAACTCGGCGCGCCCTGGAACGACTGCTGTAGAAGCTATGTGAATGAGTACGAAGAATAAAGCATTCAACATCTTTTCTATCAAAACGGAGAGCAAAAGCTTTTCGCAGTTATTTCTTCCACCACCTCAAAGCGATAGATGTTAGAAGCTTATGCAATTTTTTCCCAAGCACCAAGTGGTTGTTATGGAAACGGCTTAGGGGAACGACCCTGAATCTAAGTGAGCCCGCATAGGACTGCCTCCTAACCTAACTAATCCTGTCGGAAACATCAACAATCCGAAAGCATCCACGTTGAGCATAACACCTCCAAATCCTTGGTGACATTTTCGCAATGCGGACAGGTCTTTGGAAAAGCAAGGGCTCTATATGATCAGACACAATAACAGTTATAACCCGATGATGGTTACGGCGTAGCAGGCCATAAATTATTAACGTGGAATATCTTATTTTCAAACTTCAAACGGCAATTGTCATCTGCTGTGCGAGGAACTCTCTCTACAACGCTTAGCGCTTATCTCGATACACAGCTGAATTTACCAACACTTTGTGTCTTATATGTGGGTGGGACTTAAGGGACTTTTCAAGGCATAAAAGAAATGCATGTTGGTATGTATGACACTGAGCGGGTCCAGACATAAATTGCTGGTAGAAAAGGTACTGACAAACGTGTATTTTCAAAGACCCAGAGCAGTGTGCCACCATTAGCTTTGATACGGAGATTCTACAATGATTAGATCCTGGAGGCTAAGTGCTGGCTTAATTTCAAAACTCAGCTTAGCCTTGCACATTCTCTAATCTTTATTGGTGGCTCCAAAACTGTAATTGGGTAGTATGCCTCGGTTTTCCAAGCCGCGGTATTTGCAGTCCTCAAGGCCATGGCGAAAATCATATGAATGGGTAAGCAATGCACATGTCAAGGAATTAGCCAGATCTAAAACTGCTTCCAGAATGTTTCATTAATGCAACTTTGGCTAGGTTATTATGGCAAACATATCAAAATTAAAATTCTCCAGATTCCAGATCACTTAGGAATACTTGGTTATGAGGATCTGACCATTTGGCTAGAGAGGAATCAGAACAGGTACTCCTTGATCCGTAGTCAATTACAGAACTCGCACCTGCAATCAGAGCCTTGGTCAATATTTCATCCAACAATGATTGGGAGACATCGAGGTCCTGCAGGTTAGCTAAGCTAGATATTTGTTTTCATAGAGAAGATGGAACTGCCGACAGCTTGTGAAATTACGGACTGTACCTTCTCATAGCACAAGAGTCTGAATAATCGGCTTACAAGAAAACCTCGTTTGCTCTTTCTGTCTTGTGCAGTATGAGACGGCCAAACACTTTTGACGATTCTCACCCGCTTTTGCAAGAATTAGGTATGAGACTCTTGCATGGATGTGTTGAGAGGCAAACAACTGAGTTCTGTTATTCCCAACAATTGGTTCCGATTAAACTATATTTAGACCATTTAAATTGAAAACAGATTATGTAAAAGGAAAACAAGGAAACAGTTAAATGGACTGCGCATAGTTAGGGTGCTGTTTTTTGCACGCGTTGTTTGTGTTAGCTTCGATAGAAGAAACAACCTCTATATCCCTGTGTAATGTATTATACAAATACAGTTAAGACTGCTTTGTTTAGCCATTTCCTGCAGAGTGTCGGCGATCTCTCTCGCAGCAAAATTCTCTAATTGAAGCTGGACGCAGTAAATAAAAATGAAAACGTCTCTGGGTATCTAACTGTTCACAACCGATTACGTTTAGGGATCTCTTTAAACATACAAAATATTTTTAAGTCGCTGTGCCCCCTATTATGGAACACGTTGAACTAACTAAGGCTGGTCATGTCATATCTATATTAGATCTTCTTCGGTGAAGCCATTCAAAGATTTTTGTATTCGCAGGCGATATGTAAAGTTCAATTTCACCCGATATATTTCGTTGAAGTTAATATCATAATATTAGCAAAATTTTAATTAGTTTTCAAGAAATACTGACCTATGATGCTCTGGTCTTAGCGCCAGATCCGAGCGGAACGTTTCTGTAACATACTTGTGAAAATACGTAGGAAAAGGTAGCGTCGTATCCAAGTCAAACACCAAACAGCGATTTGGCGTTGGGTTGTGCATGAAGAAGACATGGTAGTCCTGCGAAAGAAAAAAAAAGAGAGAAATGTAAAATATTTGCAGCACAAGAATATGGTTTAAGTAGGAATATGTTTGTTTTAAAGAAATAATATAATACAATAACATCATAAATTTGCGGCATTAAAAGAAAAAAATAGCATTGGACATAAATGTGAGAAATATGCCCGCGAACGCTTGTTAATGAATGCAAGCGCACATAAAAGTGAATTTGAGAAGTGAAAAAAAAAAACAACAGTAAAAAGTACGAAAGAATCTAACAAAGCAGAAAAAATATTAAAAAAAAAAAGAAACGGTTACGTTACACGTTGACAAGGCTAAGGCTGGTACTGGCAATATAGACGGTCCAAAGCACAGAGCCCTCGGGGAACAGAGAACTGGCTGACGTGAGGGTGTAACACGCAAGAACAGCAACAACTTTGCGACGAAACTCATACATATACATATGTGCACAGGTATATGTGTACATATTTAAGGACATTAAGGTGTGTCGCGGACTTTATAAAAGAGACTACTAGTGAATTTCAAACCGAAATTTAAAAGTTGATAAAATGTATGATCCCCGCCGATAAACTTACAAAATCTATTTTGAATAAAATTATTTACGCTTAAAAAAATTACAGTAGAAAAGTCAGCTTCAGAGAAGTTGCTTTTAACAATACTATGCCCACGGCAATCACGTCGGCTCTACTGAATCTGAGCATAAACTTTTTGTTAGTCTCACTCGAGTTATGTGCCCCTTCTGTGGGTTTAGGGCGATTAATAAACAGCAAGCCCTGAGATAATTGCGTATGTTGACGACCTTGCGGTGGTAATACCAGGTTTTGTGCCTTATTATGTATCACGAACGACGACAATTTCTCTGATTGCGATTGTATAACTCTATCTGTAGTTTTCGTCGTGCTTTTCATTAATTGCAATTCAATCGTCTCGGTTACGTTTAAACCGGCTAGAATGATGCCGCCTGACTAATTTTTGAAGCATTCCCCTGTAGACGAATCGTTCGTGATACCTAATGAGATTGTAAGACTAGTTGAAAGGTGGAACAAGGAGAAAAGTTTGGGAACGACGCTTTGAGATGGTGGGAATTACCCGGCTGGAAAGTCCTCAAAGTGCCCACTCCCCATTTCTAAAGGATAACGACCTAACTTGTACAGACTGCTGTGTACTAAGGCTAAACTTTACAGACATATAAAATTTTTATTACAAGTAGATAACTTTGGTAGGACGGCTGAGAGGCTGGGGGCTCCTCAGGAAAATGAATCACTGTACTTCTACTTCAGCACAGTCGCGGCTGGAAAAATAATTTCGTCAACCCGACCATCACAGCCTTTTTCAAGCTGAAGTTGCTGTAATATAGGAGGCGATTGAAACCTTAGCAAATAGTCAAGTGGCTCTCAAAGCACTTAACTTGGTCATATGCAACTCAAAAACAAAAGCGCACTCCCATAAATCCCTGAGCAGTGTACTCTTTGCTCTTGATATGTGTGCCAGGGCATAGAAATATACCAGGCAACGATAATGCAGACGAACGTGGAGGAGTAGCAATATCCTTTCCACTTTCAAGGTCTTGGAAGTAATAGCGCAATGCGGTACGCTATCTGCAAGCTCATTCTAAGTGATCTATCTCTTAAGCTAGCAAGTGACAGATGGACAAGTCTCACCACATGCAGCAAGGTAAAACTTATGTGGCCAGAATGCGAAGCGCAATGGTCGAAAGGTCTACTCTTGCTGAGAAGAAGAGTCTTAGCTATAGCGCGTTCTGTAGAAGAAGAAGCTTTAAGCGACATGGAAAAAGTTAGAATTCGCCAACTATTAGGTTTCACAGACTCCACACGATTGTTTGAGTCCTACTCATCAGCGAAAACTAATAGTTGCCGCATTCCCGCCTTTATTATGTTTTCACGATCCGCATGGTACCACTACGGCCTCAAAAATACTAACCTAGATGTGCCGGTGTGTTGACTTTAATCTAAAATAAGATAGCTTCAGAAATATTTGTATATTTTAAAACTGGTACACCTCCGGAAAATGATCTATTGGTACAAAATACTAATTTTAGTATAAGCAATAAGGTTAGGTAAGAAAGGCACGTACGGATAACTCGTACTTCCAGTCAGAGGCAGACTTTGCCAAAGTTATTCCATATTGTCAGTATAATGTCTGCCTCATCACTTACTACTACCAATGAAGCTATGGAAGTCCGATGTTTTGACTTGCGCTGTCTCCCAAAACTATTGAAAGAACGTGATACCAAATGCCGCATCTGGAGAGCTGGGTATTGGTCTATTCTTCCTCGTCCTGATAACTTATGCAAATAGAGCTGGTTATTATACGCCCTCGATGGAATATTGGTGTTGTAGAACAGTGCCGTGCCTTGGCGCCGATAAGAACCCTTACTGCAGAATTGTTTAGCGTCGAAGGAGCCCAGCAGAGAGAGGTTTCCACGTGACTCGAGTTAATTTAATTCCGTGTTTAATTCCTGACACAGACTTACCGTAAGTGACAAGCTGCCTTCTCTATGGCAAAGACATCCGCCTGCAGTTATCAGGTAGTAATAAAATATAGATCCTTCTACTCGGCCTTCATGTGAGGAGAACGAAAGAAAGTGCACCAGGAACTAAATGGAAGGGCCAAGTGCAGAAGGACCTATCTACACTTGGGAAGTACAACTGGCGCAACTTTGCAAAGGAGGCAGGGAATTGGCGAAGTATTTTGGTACCGGCCCAAAACGAGGAACTGTTGTACCGCCAAATAAGAAGTAGCACAGTCTTAAATTCGATTCTGAAACCCGCAGCTTTTTCCTCAAATGTGTTGCCCTAAAGTAATTGTGTATGTACGCACATACATTTTTTTGTGTGTAAAGTAAATTTTATAATTTTTTTTTCGTATTCAAAAACATTGTAGTTGTACTTGTGAACATTAACGCCAGTGGGCATCATGTGCTACATGCTACATGCAACATGCCACACGCCATACGCCATACACCAACAGGCGCTACACGCTAAACAACAACAATTACGCTGCTTCTTTGATGCGACTTCCCTTCGCCGCCCGACAGGTCGTCCAACCGTTAAATTAGCGCTCCCTCATGGCAATGCTTTGGCTGGCCTCGGCATGTCAGCCATCGAGCGCATAATTTCTTTATTTTATTAGTAGAAAAATTCACAAAATTTCACGAATGACGTCCAGATGCCGCAGCCCCGTCTTCTCAAATTGCCTCCGCTGGCGTACAGTGCCCACCGCATGGGTGGTGGTTCCAACTCAAATGGTTTTTTTTTTCTCATTTAGGACTCTTCACATGCAATTGCCATTTTTCTTCTGTTTCTCGGTTGCTCCGCTCCGCTTCGAAAAGTACGCAAAGAAGCAAAACTCGAGCACAGCTGCTCAGAAGAGTAGGTTACTACGAGTTGGCCAATATGACTTTATTAATGCATGCAAGGGAAAGGTTAAGTGTTGTATTGGTGAGATTTGCATCATTGCGCATACAACTACATAAGTACTACACTCACTTGCATGCAAAAGTACATAAAGAAGAAAATTTTGCAAATTCACCAAAGCACCTATACAACAATTGCAAGCGGCCAAGGATAACCATACAACACGCAGACCTGCAAGCAGCTAACAAATAACAAACAACGAGTCAACGTGACGAGTAAGAGCCTGGGCGCCGTGGCGGGTTTTTGTGTGTTTTTTTCTTTTCGGGCCTTAAGCCAGCCAACATTGTGGCGTCTACCGAATTTTCATTTCAAACTACAGTAATAACAACACAGCAAAAGAACATGCACATATATTTATGTACATACATACACACATAACTACATACTAGTCTGCGCTAATAAAATTTGAAATAGCCTTTACCGTCTACGAATACTTGTAGCCAATAGTGATGGCACGATTAATCCAATAGCCGATTATAATCGGTTATTTTCATTCGGTTACCGATTTAATTTCAACGAAATTTTTCTTTCGATTAATCGAGCGATTAACCGATGAATTTTCAAAATAATCGAAAAGAAACCATCAAAAATTGTCTACTTTACTCAAACAATAATGTATTAGTTAAATTTACGTAGCGAAAATTGGCATTCTTACCTCTCATTAATACTAGCAAAAATAAAAGTATCCCCTCAACTCGGTACACACATACATATTATAATTTTAAGAGTTTTACCTAAGTAGCAATCAAAAACTCGCAGTCCAGGTATGCAAATATTTTCATTTAATTTACCAAATGCGGTGTTGCGCATTTTCTTCCATACGCTGTTTCATTCGGAAGAAAATAAGCAACGCCATCAACAAAACAAAAAAAAAAAAATGCCAAAAATCAACGATAAGTGCCAGATACTTCAATCTTGCAATTTTTTATACAAAAATTTAATTGGCTACAAGGCTGCATACCGAAAATCTTTCTACGAAATCTGATTAAAAAGCTCGAATTTTTTTGTTGAATTTTTTTTTGATATTGCACAAAGTTTGATACATTTATATAAAGCATAAGCTATACTGAAAAAGTAAATAAATAAATAAAAAAAAGCTTGTTGTGCGCTTATAATTTTGACACGGTGTCTATAATGGATGGTATACCTACTACTTTACACCTTTTTATTTATTGTTTCCCTTCGTTATAGATTTCTTTATTGTTTGCGTATTGAATTCATGACGCAAGTTTCCAAAGTTTAACAAGAAATGTATCCTTAAATAACACAGTAAGTTTTTATAACTTATGTAAATAATTTTTATTAATTTTCAATTTTAATCGAAACGAACGAATATTCGATTAATTTCTTACGATTAATTGCAATTAATAATCGAATGCTTTCGATTAATCAACTAAACGATTAATTGATTATTAATTTTTTTTTTTGCCATCACTAGCAGCCAACTCATTTGCAAGGTAAATTCATGTATAATTGATGACTTCGATCGATTATGGCTGGTTGGCTGGCCTAGTCGCTCGCAGCCTCAGTCTGCACTTGTGCAGCGCGTTGCCGTGTACGTAG